GCCCAGGCTGCGCGGTGAGGGGCGGGAGCCGGGGTGGTTCTGATCAGAGGGCACTGGGGCTCAGGGCGGGGTGCGAGAAGCGGAGCTGGCAGGCTTGGCATTGGGATGAGAAGCAGGAACTAGAGGGGCTGGGTGCCTGGAGTGTGGCATGAGGGAGAGAAGCGGGATCTGGGCCATTAATAAGGAGGCTTGGTGAGGAGTCGGGGATGCTGCCCACATCTCTTGGGGATAGGAGGTGAGACGAGAAGGCCAGAGATTAAGCTGAGTGACCGTGGAGAGGTACAAGGAGCACTGGGGATCTGAGGGGCAGGAATGGCTCATACACTGCAGATGGCATAAGGGTCTTGGGGAGAAGAGTGCAGAAGTATATGGGATTAGCACTCTCCTGGTGGGACTCTGTCAATGGCGCATTGGAGCAGGAAATCTGAGCGGAGAGGTAAATGCAATGGATCAGAAAGGTTGGGAGGTTCTTAGGACCAGAGTTTCAGGCAAGATGAATAGCGGAGTCTGGAATGGTCTTTTAACTGAGGAGAGGGTGCCTAGCCAAAGGCATTGGGACAGGAGGCTTGAGTCGAGAGGAGGTATGGGCATTAACTAGGCCAGAGACCCCAATCCTCCGCCTATCGTCTCCAGTATGGAATGGGGGAGAGAGAGAGCGAGCCTGGGCACGCATGAAGGAGAGTAGAGAGGGATGGTGGTTGGGAGTGAGGCTATGTCTACATTGCACTTTCAGCATTAAAACTTTTGTCGCTCAGGGGTGTGAAAAGCACCAGTGTGGAGAAAACGGTTTGTCAGAGGGAGAATGTCTCCTGCTGACCACACTACCACCCCTCATTGGTGATGGTTTTATCCTGTCCTCCGGAGAGCTCCCTCCTGGCGACAAAGAGCGGCTACACTGTGTACCTGCCATTGTAAGGTGCTCAGTGTAGACATAGCCAGAGTGAACATGGATAGCCTGAAGGGAGTTAATGGTTGGGCTGGAAGGATTGTATCCACTAGAACAAGTAGAGTTAGCAAGCTGTATGATTCAGCAAAGCAACTTTTCAGTTAAATCCTTCTGAATTTAAATAGCACTGCTGGTGTAACGTCTCCAAGTTGTGATGCTTTTTCTGAATTTAGCATTTGTGCATAGCTCCTCTCTGAATGATTTTATTCTGTCCCCTTAAAGAATCCATGCAGCCCCATCACCAAGCATTCGAATAACATGCAGAGGAATCTGTATGCATGCATGTTGGTGGCACACAGCAAGTACCTGAGGAAGGGCGACTGCTAGAATTCAGACGCTCCTGCAAACCCTTCTACTATGACATTAAAGGAAATTGCATATCCCTAGATTTTTTTTGTAATTCTTTGCATTGTGTTAGCCATGACAAATGGACACACCTTCATATGACATCCTGGGGTGTTGAAACCCTGTGTAAAGCACATGTTGCTTAATCACCTGCTCCACATGGCCACCCATGAGACTGAAAGAGCCTCCTGGTTTAAACATGGTCTTGGTAACGTAAGATGCCTTGCATTTTGAATCAGAACAGCCACCAGTCCTTGCTAAAGACACTGGCATGTTTTCTATCACTGGGAAGGCCAAAAGCTTAAGATGGTGGAGGAGGGGACCCTGAACCCACATTGTAGTGGTGGTTCTCATTAGCTTGCGCTATAGGACAAGCGTACAGATTGTGTCTAGTTTTGAATGGTTCTTGAAAACAGTTCTAGCAAACCTGTGCCCTGTGACTCTGAGTTCTAAATATGACTGACTTTGAAGTGTAAAGAGAGCCTTGAGAATTCTGGATAAAATCAGTATGGGTCCACAGTTCTGAGTGGAGCACTGAGGTTCTGGAAACACTGATAAGCAGGCATCCCTACTACTGGCAGTTTGCATCTCAGTGGCCTTTATCCTCCCTACAAAATACACTAGTTTGCGTAGAAAAGAGTTTTTCTGGACTAACAGTTACATTCTGTGCTGATGTGAGAAATGCAGGTTTGGTTTCCTGGTCCACTCTTTTCCTAGACTGGCTGAGAATGGAAATTCTGAGGAGACAAAATGTTTCCCTTCTGAGGGGAAGGAGATGCTTATTGACAAACCCCACAAACCTTCTTTAGATACATAGAGGTGTGAATAGTCTCACGTGAGGAGGGGCTACCCCTGGAAGGGGGAAACATCTGAAAATGGTCAGATGGGTCTCCAGCAGTTCAGAGACCGCACCCTTGATGAAAAGTGAGGGGGGAGGGGGCTTTAACATTCAGAGCGTCTGCTCTGCGGGTAGATTTGCCTGGTGACTGTGCAGGATACGGATCACTTTGGATTTTCAGACTGAGATAAGGGTGGGGAAACCTTATTCCTCTATCTTCTTCAGACAGGGAAGGAGATAGCACAAGCTAGAGAAACATCCCTGCTGGGGGAGACAAAGGAGGGGGAATGGAGGTGTCTCTAAACCTTAAAAAACATTTCATAGTCAACTTTAGAGAGATCTGTTGCTGCTGCAAAGGGCCGTTTCTCTATTTTCCCCACACACACACACACACACATACATTCCTCTGTGTGTTGCTCAGTGGAGGAGGGGCCCTGTTCTGGGATCCCAGCAGAAAACAGGCCATGAAATCTCAAATTGTGAACAAACACTTTTGGGCAAAGGGGCTTTGCAGAAAATGGGAAGGGCTCCATTAACTGTCTTGACCTGTCTGCCCCCTGGGTAGCTCCTCACTAGAGCAAAGCTGGGTGTGGGAAGAAGAACAGAGAGGTAGTGAGCAAATGCTCCTGTCCCACACAGTAGAAAACTGCATCCCATTTTATGGGATTTGGGGCCCTGTGTCTTTGGAAAAGGTGCAGCCCTGCTCCCAGCACCAGCCCAGCCAGTATGTTCGGTTATGCAGCTGCCATGGTTTAGTATTTAATTTATTTACCTTGCTGCTTTCGCACTGATGGAGCGTGCTTGTCGCCTGGTCTCTTTCTCTCCCCTTCCGTGTGTAAACTAATGCAGAGAAGCCTGCCTCCTCTCATCTCTGCCTAAACGTGATGGACACTTTTATGATCCAATGACAGTGCATAGAATAGGCAGGACCAAGGGGGAGGGAAAATTAACCCTGTTTGTACCTAAGAGACTCTCAGAGAGAATGGGGAGGATAATTATTAATGAGGATATGGTTACAGAGTGCAGGGGCTGTGCTGAATCCCATTAGCAGGACACTTGGCAAAATTTGTCAGAGCTTTGCACTCACACTTTAGCTTAATTGTGTTAAATGTTCTTTGAAACATTAGGGTTAACTCAGACCCCACTGCAAAAGTACAGTGTCTAAAAAATATGGAAGCAGAAATCCGCAAACTCAGTTTCTAGTATCTGAAGGCCGTGCACTTTGCAAGTTTCCCTAAATTCGGTGCCTTAGTCTTCATTGTTTCTGAAACAGATTGGAAGTCTTAGACATTTTGTAATGTCTATGTCTTTATTGAATTAACTGTAAACGACCGGTTCAGTATACATTGTCCGTCAGTGTTCAGGTGCTCTGTTGAAAACATGCAACTATATTGGAGGTTTGAGAACTGGAGGTGGGACGCCTGGGGCTTTGGCTGCTGAGGTGGCATGGTGTGCAGTTTTTTAATCCCACAAACACACCTGTACTTTTAGCAGGCATCTAGCTGTGAAATACTGGAACAGTCCTAACGCTCTACGTTCTCAAGAAATCCCAGTTCAGCACCCTATTGAGATGAACAAGCCTCTCACACTTTTTGCTGAGCTATTGTTTCAGGCTGTCTAAAGACTCAGGCAGGTAATACTCCATTGGTTCATGTTTGGACGATATTCTTGTGACTGGTTTCAGAGTAGCAGCCGTGTTAGTCTGTATTCGCAAAAAGAACAGGAGTACTTGTGGCACCTTAGAGACTAACAAATTTATTAGAGCATAAGCTTTCGTGGACTACAGCCCACTTCTTCGGATGCATACTTGTGACTGTAAAGCCTAGAAACTCTCCGTAATGAAAGCAATGATCCTGCTGCTTGGTTCTGAAGCAAGGGGTAGATCTGTGGCAAATTCCACTGGCTTGCAACATCTGGGACACTGCATAACAGTACTGTTATCTTTCCTCCTTAATAACTATATAAGCTGAGAAAGATGTGATATAATAGTTGGAGCATAGGATGACTAAGAGCTATGAATTCATGAATCCTAATCCCAGTTCTGCCATTAAATCCCAGTGTGGCTGTGCGCAAATCACTTCACTGTGCAGGGCCTCAGTTTCAGTGTCTGTAAAATGGAATCTTTATTTGCCACTGGAGCTGGTGTGAGATTTAACTGATATTAGTATAACATTGTTTATCACTGTATTTTATAAATGCACATGAGATCAGAGCTCTGTACCCTCTTTATATCAGAAGCTGTCTGAAGTACATCAGACCTCAGTAGCTCCCAGTCTCCCCTTCCTGAAACTCCAAGGTCTCTGTAGTGTGACACACAGGCATGCACTCATGATCCCCTGAATCCTCTGCTCTGTAACCACAAGGGCTCTGCAGCATCTGACTCGGTTGTTTACTAAACCACTGAAGACTGTCTGATCCCTGTCCAGGCTTCCCCAGAGAGAGCCTCAGAGTCCTGTCCTGACAGCATTCTGATTCAGTCCGAAGGTTTCTGAATCTGTTCTTTGCTGCTGGATGCTGGTTCTGATCCATAAGAGAAATGGAAAGGTGGCTAGCTGGGTGAGTGTTCTGTGTATAGCTTCTCTCTAGAACAGTACACACAGTGACTCACCCCTCCTCTGTGTCTTCTCTCCATTCACATAGAAGTTATTGCCTCACGTATGCTTGCTCTCTGTGTGATTCACATCATTGGGGTATCCTTCCCCCCTTCTCTGTTACAGATGAATGACAAGTGTCAGTCTGCCTCTCGGTGTGTGTGAGGATTGTTAGAGCAGGAGGAGGACTTGTGAATGATGGAAGGGAAGATATTCTCTGCATTCCACACTGCAGTGTCTTGGGAATCCATGCTGTGTCTCCAAGGGACAGAGGCACAGAGCTTAGGGTTTAAGCATCTGCCGTTCCCTCATCTGTCAGACCTGATGTCCTCCTTGGTGGACGTGTCATGTGCCAGCTTTGTAGGCATGGTTAACTGACTTGACCGTCTTGCAGGTGTCTCACGTATGGCATGTGGAGGTGTGACGATAGGGATTGGGTAAGTGTGTGCTTCTCACCGGATGAGAACAGTTGTCAAATTGAAATGCTCTGCAGGGGCCAGGAATAGCGTGGCTATTCCGTTTCTCACAGCAGCAGCCAGGGCAGTCTGTCTGGCCTCTGACATAAGGGTACGCTGTTGGCTATGGATTACTCATTCATGGTGACCAGCCACACTCCAGCTCCAAGGAGCCAGCCTTTTAAATCTTAAAGGAAACTTACAGGCAGAAGCAGGAAGAAGGGTACCAAGAGTTGAAAATAGCTTGTGGATAAACAGAAAGTTTGGGTAAGTGACAGAACAATTTCATTGGAAATGATCTAGCTGGATTTTAGTATGGCTGGACAGGGTGTATTCCTAGCATAATCTTCTATGCTTAATTGAGACTATTGATGATTAATAGTCAGATAAAATTGAGAATTCCTTCCTGCTTAAACTGCCCTCCTCTGTCTGCTCCTTAGGAGGGGAAAAGTTGTTGCAGGCTTGCTTGGGGAGATGGTCATATAGTCTCAGGTTACTGTACATGCTGTTTCACGTGTGAATGGAAGCTAAAGCACTGTGGTGCTTCCCACTGGATCATTTATGTCCTTGCCAATGTTTCCTTTTGTAGTAAAATCAGTTTTAACATCCAAGGCTGTGTATGAACTACAAACAAGTGCATCCATGGCTGCTGTTAGCTACACAGTGGCTGCTGGTATCTAACACTGTCCTCTGTAAAGTGCTTTGGGAGCACTGGAGTGTGAAAAGTGCTACTAAAACCAAATTCTGATCTCCTCTGCTGTGCTCTTTTCTTCTCACACAGCAGTGCTGCCCCACCTCATCCCACTAGTAAGGGTTGTCTTGGTTGAGTGGGTGGGGAAGAGGAGAGCCCCAAAGAAAAATAGTGGGTAGTGCTGTATGTGCCAAACTGAAACCATCAAACTTGTGATCCTGGACTGAATAAGCAGAGCGCTTCAAGTTCTCATGAGGATGCTATAAGTCAGATAGGAGCCATCTGGGGGTCAACTGCAAGGGTGTTGACAGAAGCAGGACTGGATTTCCAATTAGGCACAGAAGGCACATGCCTGAGGGCGCAGGCATTCTGGGGGCAACTTACCTCTCTAAAACTGTGTGCCAGACGAAGGTCAGCTGTAGGCGGGGGGCACTGAAGATGCTGTGCCTAGGAGCACGTAAGGTGTAAATCCGACCCTGGACAGAAGTGGTGTCGGATAACCTTATAAAAACACTAGCACTAGGGTTCTTTGTATCCTTCCAATAAAAACACTTGTTTTAAATATAAATGGGAAACACAACCTTATAGAAACACTTGTTCCTTTACCAGGGGCATAATAATACTTAGTACATATTTATCTATCGCTCAGCAATGTGCCATGTGGCTTACAGAATAAAAGTAACATAGTCCCTGCTCCAAAAAGCTTGCAGTCTAGCTTTAGACATGAGGCTGCAAATGCTGTTAACAAGGAATAGGTAAAGAAAATCTTTATAGTAATAAGATCACACATTTATATAGAGCCTTGCAGGCACCCCTATAAGGTATGTGCACTGGGCACCATTAAAAATTGAATGTTTGCAGCACTGTGTACCTTTTTACTTAGGGGTTTTCTGTTTTTTTGCAGTCTGTGTACAGGAAATGTCACATTCTGTAGTATATTTAACCACTTGTAGGTGGTAAATGGATAGTCATAAACAGCACCAACTGTGTAAGTATTTTTATCCCCACCTTACAGCAGGGGACATTGAGTCAGAAGTTAAGTAACTTGCTCAAGGCCTAAGACTGCATAATTGTCTGTCAGGATTACAACCAAATTCATGGTACGAAGTCTTGCTCAGACCACACCACATGATGATCCACGGCATAAAATAAATTTATCATGGGATATTCAGTCACTTGAGTGATCTTATCTTGGTGGTTTTAACAGTATTATATTAAACTCTGGAGTAGGAGTCTGTTCTCAAATAGCAGTGGACCTTCACTCCAGTGTCTGTGCGTAAACCAGTATTTGAGAATTGATGCTTATGCAAGAACCAAATTCCTGCATGGGGTCTTCTTCCAGATGCTGATTTTGCTCATTATTTACAGCTGATTTAGTGACCACCACCTGTGTATTGAGTTCTCCCCACCCCCAGCCCTTCATCTTAATCCCACTAGTGACTCTGGTGTTCTGCCTGTCTTTGTGCCTGGACCCCTATAATGGGAGCTGATCCTAAAAGACTTCAGAGGACATGCTGGTTTCTTCTAGAATATACCGATTTATAAGCCAGGCTGCCATTTATTTAATGAACAGGAGCATCTGTGTTAATACTGACCCCCAACTATGAAGGATGGCATGTTAGAGCTCCTACATCTCTAATTTCTATAACACTTGTAACAACCTGGGCCCTTGTTAAATTGTTGTGTGCCTGGTCTGGTACCAAACATGGAGGAGTCTAGGACCTTCCTCTGAGCAGTGTGGAATGTAAATAGACATCCCTTCAGCAGACATCAGAGCACAAAGCAACAGGTGACCAGAAGGGGGGTTCATCACACAGAGTCGCAGGAGGCTTTTAAAAATAAGCAGAGTTACTTTGGGTGGTAGATTACCCCCGACAGTGACCCCCGAGGGAGTCTCCACCCTCAGCACTTGCTTTCCACAATATTCCACATTTCTTCCCCTCTCTGAGCAGCCAGCGGAGTGTTCAGTTTTTCCATCGACTGGTGTAGAAAGTGCTTTGAAGACTCACTGGGTGAGGATCAAAAGCCTTTTTGTGTAATCGGTGGGTGTGACCGAGTCATGTTCTCTCCCTCCCCCCCCCTTCCTTTCTTGACTTCCCTTTTCCGTTTTCAGTGGGCCAGGTGCCGACAGCAGGACTGTGGTGTGCCCCTTTCCCTGCAGGGATGGGGGGGTTGCGGAGGGAAGGAAGGAAGGGTTTCTGGGTCTATGGGAATCTGAGCTCTAGCTCTCCAACTCTGTAAACAGCTGGTGACTCACTACATAGCTATGGCACCAACTGACTGCCAGGCCTGAGGCTGTGTGTGTGTGTGTGTGTGTGTGTACACGAAGGGAGGGGGCTGCAGTGTGTTTCCTTTATACACGGGCGACTCGCTGCTCCTTTTACTCATTGGGACCGTTTGAGTAGGGCTAGGAGCCCTTTCTTCTTCCTGTCTGTGCTTATGATGTGTGTTTGTGCCTCTGACTTGAGCAGGAACATGCTCCTAGAAGTAGTTAGTGAATACCAAGTGTGACTGGGAAGTGAGGGAGAGGAGAACTGCAAAGGGGGAGAAGTGATGTCTGGACAGATGTCTGTGTGTGTCTCAGGCTTCTTAGTTGTGCTGCAAGTTTTGTATTTCACATAGAAGAGAGGTCAGACTCCAGCTCTACACCCATCCCTTTTCCCCCTCAGTAAGTGGTGAGGTGCCCTCCCAGGGGGGTTTGTGCTACTCAGACTGTGGTGAATAATGACCATTTGTCCATGGCATTTTAGTGGACTTAGCTGAGTCTGCTCCTGCTGCCGGGGAGGAGGTGAGGGTAGCTGGCACTGCTGTGAGGATGGGGTGTAATACGACACAATGCACCACCCTGTGTGGTGCCGCACAAAAGACACTGCGTACCAGTCGCTTTAAGTGGCCCATTCATCATGAGGCATCTCTCGCTGGTCTGGCTCATGTACTGCGTGATAGGAGGCAGTCGGGTGGGGGCGAGACATGCAGATGGAGAGATGGAAAGCTACCATCTCTGTCTCAGGCTGACAAAGAGATGAGGTGCATTATTGAGAACATTCTGCAATCCAGGGAAATGCCTTTACTTTGTGATTCTGTTCTTTGTCTTTCCTCTACCTCAATTGTGTGCATGTCACATGATGAAGTATCTTGACTGGTACAATTAAAGTAAAAGCAGCCTGAACTGAGCTAGCCTCCTTTACCCACACAACTCCCTGTCACCCCCTGCATCCCACTTTCATATGCCCTTGGACCTCCCACCTCCAGGGTTGTTTGCAGATATGAATGAGTTTGTTTACTCTCTGACGACCTCATGATGTCTTTGCACAGACATGACCTGAAGTCATTATTGCTTTTGGGCTTCTCTGTTTCCATGGTTACTGGCTCAGGGTTGGCTACTTTCCCAAGGTCACCATGGCAACTATCAGAAGGGAATCATGCTTGGGATGCTTTGGCTGTATTTTTCATGAATGATTAGAATGTGTGACACGATGCAGACGTGGAAATGGGATGGGGAGGGGGGCAGAACTCCCGCCAGACAGTCTGTGTGTTCTGTCACCCAGCACCACTGCAGCCTTTGAAATCCACTACAGCCGCTCCTTGGGAGGGACAGACTCTGTGTCAGAGCTGGAGCCCTCGCACCCTCCCCAGCTTGTGTAGCCAAGATGCTGGGGAAAGTATAGGCAGATGCTGTGACATCACAGCTGCAGTGCCCTCTTCTGTGGTAGGTACATCACGAACAATCACTCTGGCAATGTCATCTCTCCAACTTGGTGGGTGTGAAGGTTCTGGAACAAGGTCCCCCTGGACGGATTCTCTAAAGTGCTGATTGAAGGGGAGAAGTTAGCAGCGAAGGTGAGAGTGAAGGGCAGCTTCCCAGCAGAGGACATTCTTTATGTCAATGGATACTCCTCTAGGAATATCAGACAGGTGACTTCTTGCAGCCTTAGGGTGAGACGTGAAGCAACAGTCCTGATCTACCGGGAGGCACAGAAACTCGCCCTGTGTCTTAATAATCGGTTTTGCCTGCTTTTTCAAAAGTGATATATTTGCGGTGTCTGTGGCTAAGGGTTAGTAATGGAATACCTTTCTTCCCCAGGCTGCTGGTTCAAAGACAGTCCAGGTCAGTAATGACCAAAATGGGAGGGGAGCAGCGGCAGCGTTACTGTCTGATGGCTTTTCCGTGTCTTTTGTGAAATGAGTTGATAGTCTTAGTCCAGTCCCTACCGGCTGGATCTGTATATCTCAAAATCCTCCACAAAAACTGACTGGCTCATGGAGACTGAACTCCCCTCTAGCCCTTAGAGGTGAAATAGCACATTGCCACAGTAGTATATGGTAGCCAGCACAATTGCTAATTGAGGATGGAATCCAGTATTGATCCACTTCCTCGCACTTTTTCTCGGCAAAAATAATATCAAGAATTTAAAATAAGCCCCATTTAACTTCAAAAAACCCAAACAAGCTGTATTTACAAGTGGCACTTCCTGGCAATACAAAGAGCCTCCCATATGTGGCTGAAGGAAGACGCTCCTCTCTGAATCCTTTTGGTGATCCTAAAGGTTGATGGTTTTTGTTAGTGAGTGGTTACATAGCCCCAAAACGTCGCATGGTGCTGTAGAGAATGGGTCACTATGTCTTGAATGTTGGGTCTGTTTCCTTCCCCATTCCCTTTGAAAATCTTGTTGTGTTGTTTTTTCCAGTTGCAATTTCTGACCAGTTCTGTCCAGGAGACTGTGCCCAGGTTATGACGACTAATCCCAAACCGAACAAGGCATTAAAGGTAAGGCTGTGGTGGGAGCCTGACTGATCTGATTCTGGGTAAATGGGATGGGTCAAGGAGCCGCGCCAATAGTGCCAAAAGCCATTTATTCTCTGAGGGGTTCTGTTTGCAAATTAGTGTGTCAGAATGCTTCTCTGGTATCAGCTGGGAAGCACTTGTGAAGAAAGGATAGGGGGCACTGATGACATAATGGGGGGGAAGACCAGAGTCTCTGGGATTGTGCATAGACTAGAGTATCCCTGTTGGTATTAAGGAGACACTTCTAAACAGGTGGGGGTTGAGGTGTATTGACAGTTATGCAGGTGTGAGAGATTGCTGCTACTAAGGGCATATGCACTTAGATAAGGAAGACACAGATTTGCAGATATCTTACCTATAGATCTGTGTAGGCAGTGAACTCTTCATAGACACCCTTGCCTCATGGCTTTGATGGCACATTTTGCTGATGAGCCTGTTAGAAATCCCTTCTAGTGTCTTGGATCTCTCCTCCAGGTGTCCTGCATTCTCTGTAGATGTTCTTTTTACCCCTTCAAAGTTCTGCAAATAACTGTGGCTAGAGACCAAACAAATAACCTCTTAAAGGTTGAGAGAGGGAGAGTTCCTCTGTCTGCCCCATCTAACCTCCCTGTACTGTGGCCCAATAAATGGGCTTGCAGCCTTATCACTTCAGGATGTGGTCTTATGAGCTAAGTAGTGTTGGGTTTGGACAGTACGTGGGTGAGAGACCTTCAGAAAAGAAATGCACAAGATGCAGGAAGTGGTGGTGTTTCTTTTGGATCAGTACTGAACCAATGCCTCAGCACAATCCCACAAGGCACTGTGCTGCTGGAGATGAGATGAAAAGCTATGGTCCTGACCCCTTGCGATAAAGATCCCATGGCATGTTTCAGCTCAAACAATTTTACTCCAGTCTCCTTAAAATTCTCCTTGTAGTATCCTGAAGATACTATGCCGAAATATCTGCCATGCACCACCCAGAGGTGGCTGCATTTCTGTGGCATGCATAGCCTGTAAAGTGCTTTGGAATCGTTCTGTCGGAGAGGCGCTATATGAATATAGTTACATTACTGCAGGGTAGCATAGTTGCTTTCTTGCTTTAGCCAGGATGGCTGCTCAGTACCTGTTCATGTTGTTGTTGTTGACTGTTATCTATGTGACATTGATACTTGTAGGTAAAGGAGGAGTCAGGAGAGAACGCCCCAGTGCTGAGTGACGATGAACTCGTGTCAATGTCCGTCCGGGAGCTGAACCAGCACCTGAGAGGTCTCACGAAAGAAGAGGTCATCCGCCTGAAGCAGCGGAGGCGCACGCTCAAGAACCGGGGCTATGCTGCCAGCTGCCGCATCAAGCGTGTGACACAGAAGGAGGAGCTGGAGAGGCAGCGGGTTGAGCTGCAGCAAGAGGTGGAGAAGCTGGCCCGAGAAAACAGCAGCATGAAGCTAGAGCTGGACGCCCTGCGCTCCAAGTACGAGGCATTGCAGACCTTTGCTCGTACCGTTGCACGGGGGCCTATTACCCCGACCAAAGTCGCCACCACTAGTGTCATCACCATTGTGAAATCAGCTGAAATCTCATCCAGTTCTGTGCCATTTTCAGCAGCATCCTAGTGCCCTAGATGGGGGAACTACAGCCTTTCGGAGGGATGGGGAAAGGGCTCTTATGCACCGTTCCAGAGTCCTTGGTCACTTCAAGAATTGGCATTTTAACAATTCCTTCTCTTTCAAAAGTGCAAAAAAAAAAAAATCTACAAAGGGAACGTAACTGGCTGCTCCTCTGTGAACTTAGTGGTTCCATGAAGCTCTTGTGGCTGGGATTTGAGTTCTGTACCTAGTATGAGCTTTCTCTTCCTCCTCCCCCTGCCTCCCCAACCCTCTTTAGGCTGTGGGCAGCTTCCCAATTGGGAGAAGATACCAGAGGAGCCTTTGTGAATAATGTTCAAGAACCAGGTAACAGATGGACTGTCAAAATCATGTGAGATGAATGTATAGAGAAGAGTTTCCTTCAGTGGCATCCAACTCCCATTAAGAAGTTACCTCACCCCACCACCACGTTCCACTGTCATAGCAGTGGCAGAGAAATAAACTCTGAAGCAGAGTCCATTCCGCCATGCACTGGGGGGAGGAGAGGAGGGTTGGTCATACAGAGAGGGAATATGTTTGGGTCAGACCACACCAGTTAGGAAAAACCTTCCTGTCTTCAGCCCATACCGGTTACCAGTTTACATGTTTTAATACACCCCATACCTGTGTGGCCTATAAAGCTAAATTGCAGCCTCCCTTATACAAAGCCAAGTCTACCAAGAGCTCCTTCCCCAAGATGTGCCTGTAAATTGGGTATATTTATGCAGTTTATTTCTTCCAGATGATCCACAGGTTTGTAATAGTGGCTTATTCAGGGTTCCTTGAAGCTCAAGGGAGGAAGGCACAGTAAAATTCAAGAAGGGAGGTATGTTGCGGGGCATAGAGAGAAATACTAGAAGTATTACTGGCCTGAGGCAGAATTGGTTGCCATGGTGGGAAGTTGTTGTCCTGGAAATCAGCACTGTGAAAAGGTGTTTATGTAGAGCATGTTAGAAAGATGTGTTAAAAGCACTGAAGTAAAAAGAGGGCCGATAGCGTATGTGCAAGAAGATCAAAGCCAGCAGAAACTCCTGGATAACAGAGGTAGTGGTGGTTATGGCCTTTGCCTGTTAGAACAGTGGCCATCCCAACCTAAGGGGCCATGTACACTGATCTTTGCCAACAAGAGATAGGGTATGGGATGCTGGGTGGAAGCTGAAAAAGGGAAGAAAGATTCTTAACCCAATCTCAGTCATTAAAGCTGGGTTCCAAAGAGTAGAAAAACCTATAGTGTTTTGTGTTGAGAGGGTTGAGAGAACCTGTCTGACGACAATCCTGAAACTCAACATTTCTTGGGGGTGTGAATTATCCCTAGAGATGCATGGAGGGCAGGATTGGAATCGGTGGCTTTTGGGGGATGGTAAAATTGGGGTTGATAAGTAGGGCTTATGGTTCTGAAGGATAGTTGGGAAGAGGTAACAGTGGCTCAGCAGTGGGCAGGAAAGGGGAAGCCAAAGGGAGAAGAGTCTATTCTTTAACAGGACTGAAAAGACATTCTAAGTTTCCAGGTCTGAGTAAAAATAGCTATGTTCATGTTTGTGTGTTTGAAGTAGGAAAGAAAACGGATTGCCTGGTGTTCCAGAGTAGGTCAAAGATTTGTGGGCTGTCAGATGCCTGCTCTAAAGCAGGTGAGAAGAGGTTAAGACTCCTGAAGTTCAAGATGACTGGAGGAGATGGCTAATGTTCATATTCAGAAGAGTTTGGTATACTGGTGTTCCAGAGTAAGGTACAAAGGAGAAGATGGAGAAGAATGACTGGTGGTCTAGTTTAACTGAAAAGGATAAAGGAAGATGCTCCTATCGTTGAAGAGGACAGAAAATTAGCATCCTAAGCCAGTGTAGGATATTGTTTGTGAAGTTATCTTGTGTCTTGAATTGCAAGAAGAATGCACAAGTTTAGTGAAGCCCTGTCTTTCTTCTAAAGACAAACACAAGTTGTTGTTGGCTCACGTTTTCCCAGTCACTGGAGTCTCTTGGTTTCCCAAGAAGGTACTTAAGTCAAGTAGTTGGAGAGGCAGAACCTGGTTCTCATTCAGTCCTAAACCTCTACACTGATGACTTTCCTGAGCCATAGGATGTGTAAGAGTAATGCTTCCTTGATGGCTTTTACCCCACCAGATTCATCTCCTCCTGGAGGAGGCAAGCAGGAAGTTACCAACAAATATAGTTTGGAGGTATTTAGCTCCACTTCTCCTCCACTTCCTTACCATCTCCTAACAGGCAGATTGATGTCCTGCGTATCAGTACCAGTTATTGGCTCCCCCAGCAGAAGCTGAGGAAGAGAAGACCCTAATTCCTTTTCATGTTCTGTAACTCAAAAGTACTTGGAAATCTTCCCAGATCTCTAAGGTGCAACCATTAGCACAGGCAATGTCTAGATTCCTAGCACTGTTGGGACTTTAAAAGAGAAACAGAAAAATATCCAGTGGACTTGGAAATGACTGAATGTTCCCCATTTCTAAAATAGCTCCATGAAAGTCTTGACATTCCTGAACAGATAAGACCACCCCCTCCACCCGGGGAATCCTTCACTGCACCAAGGAAATGAGATCAACTAGACAGGAGAGTAATGGGAATTTAAACGTAATTCGGGGTGGGGTTCAGTTGCTGTTGGAATGAGATGAGGAATAGATCTGAGTTCTTTACTAGTACTTCCATTGTGGCTGAGCATTTTCCAGTTCTCGGAAGTGTGCCAAAGGCTTGTCCAAGTGATTGCTGGTTTAGTGCTAGAAGGCGCGTAGTCTCTGATTACTCAATCAAGAATGAGGCCTGGGTGTTATTAAAGCTGTTGATACCATAACCATGGTAGGTAATCCATATTGGATATCCATAAGGACCACGTGGAAATATTTAAAAAGAGAAATAAATATATATATATATATATAAATATATTATATACATTTTATCATATAGATTTTTCGTAATTTTTTTTTCCAAGTTTGATACTGTAAATCTTTACTAAAAGAAATTGCCAGTCCAGGGCTCCTTGGGTGGTGATTTGGGGGGAAAGGAGGCATGCTGGCTAACTTCAACTGGTGGATCAGAATTGCAAGGTAATACAGAGGGAGGAACAATCTGAAAGCTGCTCACCACATTGGAGAGACAACTCCCTCTCCCTTCTTCCTCTGGGGTTTGTTTCTGTTCCGTCCTGCACTTGCAAATCTGATGCCCAGGGCAAAAGCCAGTGAGGGGATTTGGGCCACTGCTTGCAGAATCACTAGGGGAGCCCTTTTGAAAAGGAGTGCTTATCTCTCTTCCAACCCTCCTCCCACTCCCTCTTGTCTCTCCTTACTGCAGTAACTAGGGCTTCTTTCTCTCCCCTCTTATCTTGTCACACCACCGCTAGAGGGAAGCAATGAGTCTTAATTTCATGAGCATTAGGCTCCACTTCTGAACCCCAGGCCCAGCATTTTCCTCTGATACCCACCCTGTGCATAGGAACCACGGTATGAAGGTGGGGACATTAGAAGCAGCCAGCAGTATGTCCCCTGACCCACAATTGGGGCATTGTGGGATGTTTACATGGGGCAATAACAGGTCCTTCTTATCAGGGGCTTCTCTATGCTCCTGTATGTGCATTTGTTGTGCTCCTGACTGGGAATAGTTTCCCACTAGGGAAGCTTCAGAGCCCTTTGAAGCAAGTTAGTGTCTCTGACCTTGCCTAACTATATCCTCTGCCTGAGGAAACAACATATAACGTGTTTTGTAATGCCACATCTCTCTGGGACAAGTGAGGGAGGGCGGCAGGCAAAATGAATAATGGGTGGGAGGGGAGAGTGAGTGGCAAGTTTATGTATTGCTGGGATCGTGGGGCATTCAAGCTACTGTGCGACTCAAAGCCCAAGGAGGAGGAGGCATTTTTTCTCTCTCAGATCATTTAAACTTTGTCATGATTGTTTTCATTTAAAGAAAAAAAACTTTTGTAATGTGGGTTTGTTTTCCTTTGTCATCTGTATTTCAGTCTGCTGGGGTGTTTCCGTAGATGGTGGATCTTTTGCTTTCATTTTTTTTTCTTTTTTTTTAATGGTAGATCTTCTGTTAAGTTTTTATCACCAACTCATGCTATCCTCCGTGGTCATTCAGTAATTTCATTTCAATATTTATTTTTGTGCTGCTTTTTTTTATTATAAAATAAATTATTGATATACCGAGTAATGTGGATTCCTGTTTGTAAGGCGTATAGCCCTGTGTATGTGTCCATCACTTTCTCTTGACAGCCACAACGTAATTTATTGCTGTAAATTTAGCTGCAGTGACTGGTTTTTTGTACCTTTCCAATAAAGCATTTTCTGGTTTCAGAGTTGTGCTGGTGTATGGTCAGCATTTTGGAGCCTGAATTACTCTTCAGTAGAGCACTTTCCTTAACCGAATCTTTTATTTCAGCCTGTCCATTATATGGCTCATTGGGGCCTGCTATTAAAAAAAAAAAAAACTGTGTCTTTAAAAGGCAGGCTGGGCATGTGCAGGTGTCACTCTGCTAAGGCCTGGTGAGGAGCTGCAAGAGAGCTGGGTTTCTTGGCCATGTAGCAGCAAACTGTTAAAACAGCAGCTTAGCACAGGGGTAGTCAACTCACCCCATCTCAAAGCCTTGATTTAGGTGCTTCAGGGAGCTAGCATGAACTCCGCTCCCTTCATAACAGGCTTCCCCACTGACAATTTTTGGTGCCCTAGTCATTCTGAAGTGGCATCTGCTTGTTCAGTGGTTCAGCATCTTCCCTGGCCCACTTGCTGTCTCTCGGGGGAGGGGGTGGTGGTGGTGGGGTGTGTGTGTGTGTGTGTGTTTTTCTCCTCTACACTAAGCTTCACTTTTTGCATATTCACAGTGGTTTCTAGCCAGGCACAGGCAGTCTCTACTATAGTCAATAGGCATTGTTTGTACTTTGATGGGAAGCCCCCCTGGAACCAGCATGTGCTAGCACTGCAGTAGGTTGTATTCTTGTCTCAGTCAACAGGGTCCCAATTAAAGTGCTGACAGTACGTTAGCTCCTCTACAAGACAGCTCCTATCCTGGAGAGCTTATACCGTAGAACGGTTTTTCCTCAAAAATGCGTGTGTCCCACCTTCCCTCTCTGTTTGTGATCATGTAATGGCAGCACTTGCACACGAGGAAAATATTGATGAATGTTTTAAACTTCAATATGATGTTGTGTGTGCTTTCTTTTCCCCTTTCCTGTCTGTTTCTCTCAGCTTGAAACAGAGCTGGTACCCTAAGCACTAGCTGCCATGGGTCACAGACCACATTTTAGGAACTGCAGTTACAGAAAACGGGGTGACTGAGGCGGTACATTTAATCCCTTACTTAATTATTTGTAGGTAGCCTTCGGAGAGAGTTGAATGGAGGTGAGGCACTCATTGCATGGGGCTGAGGCACATGTTTAATAGACACAGGGCATTAATTAAAGAGGGGAGATTGCTTCAGTTTCCTTCTGACTTGATCAGAGGAATCAAGGAGGGTAAAGCTGCATAGGGGCTTTAGGCCAGGATAAGCAGGTTAAACATGCTAGTGGGTAAAGGTACTTCAGTGGTGTGGCTGAAAGACATGTGATGTGGCCTGATTGAGCAAAGCTTAGTTTTCGGTAAGACCCATAGGAGCCAGAGTGGCTGTGGTGGTTGATGTAAAAGTAGATTCCCCACCCCCCAAACTGCTCTTCTTCTAACCCAACTGTTATGTTGCAAAGACAAGGACTAGATTCAGTGACAGTTCAGTGTAGGAGGAGGATGCAAGCCTGAGAGGATGGCTGTGACATTCAAGGAGTTAGACTTTAGAGGACCTAACTCACCGCTAGAGTACCAGTCAGAAGTCCAGCTCCTGCAAAAGATAGACTAGCCCATTCCCCTGAGAATTACAGGGAAACTGCTACAACCTGCAGGAGAGAAGCTTAAGTAGAACAGGGATGAAAGGTGGCCACCCTGCTCTGTAGGGACCACTCTGGCTTTTAGTGGAGTGTAGCTCTCTCTCTGTCCCACTGTGGTAGTCCAATCATACAAAGCCACACTTAAAGACCTCCCTTAATTCTCTTAATATTATGGTAGCACCCTAGGCTCCTGGTCCATGACTAGCACTTCTATGTGCTAGGCACTGAACAAACAGAGCAAAACTATGTCCCTGCCCTGAAGAGCATACAGTCTAAACAGAGAAGGTGAGACAATAGATGGAGCCAGGAATGGGAGAGCATAAGGGACCAACCCATCTTGGATGTGCTGGAGCTGTAACCACACTTCTCGCTATGCACCTGGGGGGGATTCCACTATCAAAACTGTGATGTATAAAGTTATGGGCAAATACCCCATAGGACTTGAAAAAGGGGGTAGCTCTTAATGAGGTCTGCTGTAGAGAATATTCACACACGGCTCTGATTGTGTTGATACCTAGCCCTGGTGGGTAAAACACTAGCAGACTGAGCTGTAGTCCACCTCTTCTTTTGGAAGAGGCAGTAAACGTACCCCAAAAGCTAGGAGGAAACAAGTCTTGCAGCTCTGGTAGTCATTGTCAGCAACAAGGTGCCCTCTCTGGAACCTGCCTCTGGCTTTCTTCCAGTCCCCAAGACAAACTGACACATTGGCCAAGCCTGTGGTTCAGCTCTAGATTCATTTAGGGCAGGGGTGGCCAACCTGTGGTCTGGAGCCACATGTGGCTCTTCAGAAGTTAATATGCAGCTCCTTGCATAGGCACTGACTCCAGGGCTGGAGCTACAGGCGCCAACTTTCCAATGTGGCAGGGGGTGCTCACTGCTCAACCCCTGGCTCTGCCACAGGCCCTGCCCCCTCTTCACCCCTTCCCTCCCCTGAGCCTACCAGGCCCTCACTCCTCCCACTCCCCCTCTGAGCCTCCTGCATGCCACAAAACAGCTGATCAGGAGGTGTGGGGATGGAGGAGGAAGGCACTGATCAGCTGGGCTGTTGGTGGGCAGGAGGCTCTGGGAGCTGATGTAGGGCTGCTGGCATTACTGTGGCTCTTTGGCAATGTACATTGGTAAATTCTGGCTCCTTCTCAGGCTCAGGTTGGCCACCCCAAGAGAGGGGTTGTTTATTAGCACAAGAGCCTAGGACTCATTTGTGAGCAGAGGCAGCTTTCTGTTTAAGATAGTTCCTAGGTCTTTGTTCTCCATGCATATTCACCACTGACATTAGGTCACCCTAATGAAAGAGCAGCACAGAGTCCAGACAGACCCCAAGCATTGTAAGCAGTGGGTCATGCCTGCTGTTTAAGGGCACAGCAGCCAGTCTTACACACAGGGCTGCTGGCACACTCTTGCCTTTGGTGGTACATCAGAGTGACTTCTTTGAGAACAAGAGCTGGCCTACATCTAATAAATGAGGGCTTGGCTACAGTAGACAGTTGTCATTATCTGGGGCAGGACTTGCACCTGCTGTCAATAGCGATGAATGCCCTGAAGTTCAGACTCCATGCAGGGATGTAAGTTACATTAAGTTTATAGTCTTGTGCAAGTCTTTATCCTAGCACATTAGGCAAGTGCTTTAACAGCTGTGCTACAGTCACCTTTGCTATCTGTCCTCACCCCAGTGGTTGAAGCAACCTCTGTCCCAGCTCTGACATGATTACTCCCCAGGCAGCTGGGGTAGGAAAGACCAATGTGTTCAGCTCAAGTGACTTCCTTGCTCATGTTGCTTCTTTGATGTCTGTGCTGTAAAGCTTTGTCAGTATCTGCACAGGGCACCTTGTCATGCTTGGCAGCTGCTCTCTTGTCATGGAGATAGACCTAGCCAGGCAGCAGAATGCTCCTGCCCCTCCCAAGACTAGATTTGCTGCATGCATGAGTCCTGCACAGGGCTCTAGTTATACCTCCAAACAGGCAGCCTCTTCTTCAGCTGACCAGGCAGAAGCAGTGCTGGAGATAATCGGAGGGAGCCACCAGACGGTCTCAGCTACACGCTGCTGTTAGAGTATTGCTATCACAGGCTTTCAGTAGGATGGGGAAGCTTCT